TCAGGAGCTAATATGACCATTTTAGGTCCTAATATGTACATTTTACTTGGTAATATTTAAATTTAAGGTACTAATATATCCATTTTAGGTCCTAATATTTCCATTTCAGTAGCTAATATGGCCATTTTAGGTCCTAATATGTACATTTTACTTGGTAATATTTAAATTTAAGGTACTAATATGTCCATTTTAGGTTCCATTTCAGGAGCTAATATGGCCATTTTAGGTCCTAATATGTACATTTTACTTGGTAATATTTAAATTTAAGGTACTAATATGTCCATTTTAGGTCCTAATATTTCCATTTCAGGAGCTAATATGGCCATTTTAGGTCCTAATATGTACATTTTAGGTCCTAATATGTACATTTTAAGTGTTAATACATTTTAGGTCCTAATATGTCCATTTCAGGAGCTAATATGACCATTTTAGGTCCTAATATGTACATTTTACTTGGTAATATTTAAATTTAAGGTACTAATATATCCATTTTAGGTCCTAATATTTCCATTTCAGTAGCTAATATGGCCATTTTAGGTCCTAATATGTACATTTTACTAGGTAATATTTACATTTTAGGTACTAATGTGTCCATTTTAGGTCCTAATATGTACATTTCAGGTGCTAATATGTAACACTTAGGTACCAATATGCAGCCTTTGGGTACAAAAATGTACCTTTTGAAAAGAGACACAATGATAGAGGGAAACTTACCATTAGATAGACCTATAGGGCTCTTTAAACTATGGAAATGTGCTCAAATCCTCCAGGAACATCTTGGAAACTGTCTAGCAATGCCCTTGCAATAAATCTACACAACACTGTAGCATTGTGGCTTTGAGTTTTACATTTAACCTATCATATTTTCTTCTGACCACGTAACAATCTATGAAGATCCCCAGTTTGATCCAAACTTTTTGATCCCAACTGCAGGATTCGTCCTTATCCTGTAGAATGAATTTGTGTAGCACAGAAGTTTTATTTGAATTAGCCTATATCAACTTTCTGTTTCTGTAAAAGACATTAAAAAAGTGAATTAAATATAAATGAAAACTGCCGCCAGGAAGCGATACATCCACACCGGAGGTAAGAGATATTCTCAAAAACAACTGACCTGGTTTAGACTTCTGCTTAAACCATTTAACATAATGCAAGTTTCAATAGACGTATGTCATTAGTGAAAGAATACAATAGTATTTTAAAGAAAATACTGAAAATATCAAACATTTATTTATTAAAATACATCTGACCGCTCCGAATCAGACCAAGAGTTTCTTTCTTCTGTTGAACATAAAAGAAGATGAGAACGCTGGTAACCAAACAGTTTACAGTAGCCATTGACTTCCATAGGGAAAAATCCTGTCAGCTGGTTACAAACATTTTACAAACAGAAGAAACAAACTCATACAGGTCTGAAACAACTTGAAGGCGAGTAAATGATGACATTTCATTTTGGGGTGAACTATCCCTTTAATATTTTATGGAATTTAATTCTTAAAAATATGTTTTAATCCTAAATTTAATTCAACGTTGCTGCGTAATCAGTCCCTCTGTTGCAGTCTACTAGCAAATAGACGAGTTGCTGTGACACTGATTTCCCAGTTTGTGTGTGGTTTGGAGCGGATCCAAACATTTCCTAAGGATCTTAATTCACTCTTCTGATAACAATTTGCAGAACCCCGAGAACCTTCCAAGAACTTCCTAAATGAAGATCTACAGGCGCATCAGAGTTAGCACGCTACAGATAAGTCTTCGTTTATTTGGCTCACGAACATGGACTTGTGTTTGAGGTTGAGGAAATGGTGTGTGTTTCCCTCAGGATCGCGCTGTCACGAGCCCGTTTTCCCGCGTCTAGGAATTACTGTGAGATTGATTCGAGTCCAAAAGGGTGCAGGTCCTGTCCGCCCAAATACTGAGACCCGTGTGTGTGTGTGTGTGTGTCTTATTAGTGAAGATTGAGCTGTTCAGAGCCGTGCAGTAAAACATGAGCGAATCTCACTCCCTGGATTACTCCATCTCTCCAGAGACGGGATAACATGGACCGCCGCTGTTTTAGATTGATCTCGAGCTGAGTTTGATGGCCTTTCGTGAATTTAGTAATTGAACCAGAAACATTTCTTTTTCAAAATTATTACCATAATTACGCTGAAAGTCAGTGTATTTCGATAGCTAATGAACATCTGGATGTAAAAAAACCGGAGGTCTAAATCTTGATTTTGGTATGCGGGTCTATTTATATCCCAAAACTGAACCCGCTCGCCTAGCCCACTTGTGTAGCGCACGAGTTCATTAAGTTACTTTAAAAAAGTAAATAGCCTAATTACTAGCTATTAATGCACCTTGAACAGTCTAATTATATTAGTAATTTCTTTCTCTTACTAATTACTTTCTAAATCCGACCTTAAACATGATAGACTGCACTTTTGATTCTTTCAAATAAACAATATACCAGTGTGTAAAGGCAGAAGGGTTACATTAAAACTTAATATTGAAATAACTTAATATTGAATTTTGATGTTAAACCCACACTGTAAAAAAAATATATATATATTTTTATGATTTGATATCGCAATCTTTATTCTTAACTTAATTAACGTGGTTTTAATTAATCAATTAGTATTGCTGATTTATGGGTATTATACAATCCCTGATAACTTTTGAAAGCACATTTTAAACCCGTCCACAAACCGTTCCCTCTGTTCTCAATATGAAAGCTTAGTCAGACGAGGTTGAGGTGTCATATGTTTCCAGTTTTAAAAGTGTCACTTTTAATGTATTTGTAGACCGTCCTTGGTGCGGAGGACTCGTATCAAACTTTCACTACAGATATCATTCACACAGGTGTTAAAAACGAGTCCAGGGGTCCAACCTTTCCTCGAGGTCAAACATCTTGAAGAAATGACTATGATTTATACACTAAATACCAGCTGTATTGATTTCAAGACTCTATTATTTTCAATCTCTGATTGACACAAACCAACAGTGCGGTTAAACTGAACCACCTTTTCATAGGTTTGGTTGTAGATTACATGTCTCAGAGACTTTCTTTATATATATATATATATAATAGAAGAAGGTGATTAATAAATGTACAAATCTCAGTTCTCAGTCCTTTCCCAGTAATGAAAATCATCATTGATAATATTAGTAAATATTAATGACTTTGATATGTCACGGTCCTGCAAATGTCTTTCCCAGAAATGCCTGTTTTCGGGTGCAGACGTCTGGCTCTACTGACCCCGAGGCAACATTCACACTGGGGCCTTTTTAATACGAAGTTTTTACAATAAAAAAGTTGCATATAGTAACAGTGGAAAACAAAAGAAACGTACATGTTCAGTGCTTATTAGAAAGACCTGATGAAAAGCACATGTTGGGCTGTTTGTTTATAGTTCATAGAGTTTAGAGAGGAAAATTCATATAAGGAAATGTGAGGACAAATTTATGTATGTGGATGAGACTGTGTTAACTTATACAGTTCGTATATTAAAAACAATATAGAAATATACATTTTGAATGCAGCACAATCGAAAACATAAATGGACAACTTTAAAAGTGATTTTTCTCAATGTTTCGATTTTTCTGCACTCTCAGATTCCAGAATAGTTGTATCTCCGCCAAATATTGTCCTATCCTAAGAAAGCATAGCTATTTATTCAGCTTTCATGTGATGTATAAATCTCAATTTCAAAAAATTGAACCATGTGACTGGTTTTGTGGTCCAGCGTAAAACGGCATTTAACTCAGACAAGTGAATAATTGTGGAAGTGTGATAATACAATGCTCTCTAGAAATTCCTTCATATTGTACTGTCGTGTTTTTATTCATATCGATCAATACAAAATACAAAAATAAATCATTACATTACAAACTCCTTATATTTTTAAAGTGGCTCAAAAACATTACAGCAATTGGGCATTTGAGTCAAAACATGTTCAGAAACAATGTGTGTTATATAAACGTGTTAATATCATGGAAACCATAATCACAGTCATATCTTCATTTTGTGGCTAAAACAATTCCCGATACAAATGGAATACATAAAGTAATATTAATTTAGTCTACAAAAATCGCTTGCATTTATGCGGTTCAGTTTTGGTCCCTGATCAACCCATTTACTGACAGCTGTTTAGTGCTGGAGAATATTTACATGTTGGTTGTCTTGTTGGATCCAAGTCACAACCAGTATGACACACATGCAGGCCACTGGACAGTACAGTATGCAAATGCTGTTAATAAAGGCCTGAGTCACGGAATGTCGCTCGATACACATGAGCAGAAGTTTTAAGCTGCCTTGGCGTGATTGCTTTAACAACACCTGCTTTATTCATATAGCATACAGTATCTGCTTTAAACTGCATATTTCTTGAATTTCAGTGTATGGCATTTGCGAGAGGAAGACAGGAAACTATGATTCTGTTTCCTGTAGTAGCAGCCCTGTGCCAAACGTGTCTCTGTTCCAAAACCTTTATCTCTTACTTACATAGTGCACTGCTAAGTGCACAACACATACTGCCTACTATCTTCTAAGGGTATGTTCACACAATGATGTACTAAAAATCAAGACGTTTTTTTTCCTTTTTTGCATTAATCGCATAGAGATGACAACATTGTCAAAACGATCTCTGTAAAAAAAAAACGACTAAAAACGCTGTATTATTCATGCCAGGCCTGTAGATGGCGATGCCACTTTGTAAAGAAACACTAGACGCCCATAGGCTGAAATGTTTTCACAAATTCGCATTTTTGTAGTTTACACCGAGACAAAAACGTGCGCTTTGAAGCACGTTTTCAAAAGATTGCGTTTTCAGGCCCTCAAAGCGGCGTTGTCGTGTAAATGAACGGCCAAAACAAATAAAACGTTTGAAATTTGTGTCGTGTAAACCTTTGTGAAACTTTGATTTGTAACATTCCACAAAAATGTTCAGCTCACAATTGATTCCAAACAGTTTGGGGTTAGCATGTTGCTAAGCTAATTGCGCTTTTTTTTTTAAGAATACAGGGAACAATAGTCCATTGTTAACTTTTTATTTAGTATTGAAAGAAATTTGAGTCCGCCTGCTTGGATTTTGAATTGAGCTTGAATGTTTTTCCTTGGCATTAATCGCATAGAGATGACAACGATCTCCGGGAAAAAAAAAAACGACTAAAAACGTTGTATTATTCATGCCAGGCCGGTAGATGGCGATGTCACTTTGTAAAGAAACACTAGACGCCCATAGGCTGAAAATGTTTTCACAAATTCGCATTTTTGTTGTTTACACGACAAAAACATGCACTTTGAAGCACGTTTTCAGGCCGTCAAAGCGGCGTTGTCTTATAAATGAATGGCCAAAACGCATAAAATGTTTGAAATTTGTGTCGTGTAAACCGTGATGGAACTTTGTGAGTGACTGATTTGAAACGTTCCACAAAAATGTTCAGCTCACAACTGATTCCAAACAGTTTGGCGTTAGCATGTTGCTAAGCTAATTGCGCATTTTATAAGAATACAGGGAACAATAGTCCATTGTTAACTTTTTATTTAGTGTTGAAAGAAATTTGAGAATATTTATGAATTGCTTTCCACGTCCGCCTGCTTGTATTTTGAATTGAGCTTGTTGCGGTACATTCTGGGATTGCATCATTTGTGAAATACAACTGATACTGACATAAATGTAATAAAAGGAAGTTTATTTCATCGTTTTTCGCATTTGGTGTCTAGACAGGCGGCTCATTAGGTTTTGGAACGGAGCTAGCGTTAGCATGCTAGATCATTCATGTGTGCTGTGTGCTTTTAAACACTACAGCCAAAGTGAGCTTGAACTTTCTGCGTCTTTTTCACTTGCTTGCATCCCTTATTAATCCCAAACTATTCTAAAGGTTAAACATCCCTATGACACAAATCCACAAACTCATTTTTACTGCCCTTTAAATTGCGGAAAACCAGTAAATATTTCTCTTGCCTTCCCATTCACACGTTCGCCCATTGCCCACTCATACACACACTCGTGCACCAGTAAATAGTCACAGCCAGCAGTAGCAGTGCGTCGGGATGAAGGTGTTTGGTTGTGTTTTGGTGAGCTGCAGGCTGGTTTAGGTGAAGTGCTGTTTGTGCAAGCAGTCCAGAAAGAGGAAGAGTGATCTTAGAGAGCGAGGGACGAGGACGTGCGCCTCTTTAGAGGTCAGAGATGCACTATGGTCCTCCTCGCACATCCTCGCGTGTTTACTTTGAACGCTTCTTCTTTATTCTGAAAGAGAAAGAAAAGTCACATTATCAGCGATGAACAACCACTTGTTTTGTTTTCCATCCAGTTCTACTTTCAAGACGAATACTGTAGGTGTTAATGCTGAAACATTTATTACAGGAGGACGAAACTTGTAGTCTTTGAACATTTCTATGAACTATTCTGTTAATGCATGCAACATTTTTTTTTTAGTTTTTAATCAATCTAGAATAGTTTTATCAAAAAGTATTTTGCAAGAAGGTCACTTGGAACAAAAATATTCCAAAGTTTTAGATTTCTAATAATACATTTAGATAATTCACAGAATGCCTTAGAGAGCACACAGTAGAGTAGTGCTATTTTAGTATTATTTATCTACTAATATAGTACTTATTCATAATGTTAATATGATGAAATATGAATGAATTTAATACGTTTTTATTTGTAAATTTGCATGTTATGTGATTTTGTCATCCTTTATTATTATTTTTTTTAAAATCTGTTTAGCTTTAATTGATTGGTATTTTCAGACTGACCTATAATAATCAAGACATCAATAGTTTTTTTTCCCCTCCTTTTTATGTTTTGATGGCATCAGTTTGGCTCAGTGGCACAATAGGAGGCCGATTATAGTGGTGTAAAAGCTCTGCTGCTCTGCCTGTTCCCTCATCATTAATCTATAATTAGTGTAATCATTGAACAGTGGTTAATGCTCAAGGCTCTGTGCTGGAGCCTAATTACCTACTTAGGTAAACGTGTAATTTATATAATCTTAAATTACCCAATAACATTCCACATATGCCATTTAATTGTCAGGAACAACAGCTTGTAAATTGCTGCTAAGATTTGTGTTAAAACACTTAATTCTACAGCACCTTTACATTTGCTTTTGATGTAAAGTAAATAAATTGCGTAAATTAACACATTCTGTAAATCCTTCTCACTGCAAATTTAATACAGTTGATTACATACATTACATCAGAACATGTACATGTCATTATTTCTAGTCGGTGACAATTTTACCTCAAAGGTCATGGCTATTCCGGTTTTGATAATTAGAACGAATCTGAATCTACCAAGTTGTATGTACATTAAAATGTTTGTTTTCGGAAAAATTAGTGTCCTGGTTCCTATTACAGAGCAAAACGCAAAACTTTTGCGATATTTCCTGAATGTGGATTTTTTTAAAAAGTGCGCAAAGCCAGCGTTTCCATTAACCGATGTTATCTGAGTAAAGCGTATTTTTTTTCTCGCGTGATAAGTCATTCCAGAAATCATGGAAACGAATGTTGGTAGATCTATGTTTATCGCAGCCACCGCACTAGCCATTATTTTTAATCGAATGAGACGTAGGCCTGTCGTCCAAGCATTAATGCCAAGAGAAAAGCCCCTTATACTTGTGAGTGAACACATATGAGGTTACAGTTCTCGATTTCACAGAGGAACTGTGCGAGTTGAGCAGATGTCTCGCCTGGTGATCTCTTTGGCGAAATATTCCTTTTTCGAATTGGCTGAAAAAGCACCTCATGCGAGCGTAAAAACATTTTTGCGATTTATGGGAGTTTTTCGCGAAATTGATGTTTCCATTGGCCGCATTTTCAATTCGCGCAATTTGAAGGGTAATGGAAACACAGCTATGTGTAAAGTTATGCCTACACTTTACATACTTTTTTTGTATGTAATGTGTATACACGTAACACTACACTTCGTAATACACATGCGCGACAACACCGTTTTTACAAATTCACGTTTTTGTAGTTTACACAGAGACGATAACGGTATCGTTTTCAAAAATGTGAACTTTGAAACCCGTTTTCAAAAGTTTGCATTTTCAGGCTCCCAGTTAAACACCGTTGTTGTGTAAATGAACGACCAAAACATATAGAGTTTTCAGTGTATTGTTGAAAACCGTGAGAATAAACATTTTGTAAATTAGTGTAAATTTTAAACATAATTTTCTTTCCAGTAGATTTGTTTAGTTTTAAGTTTTTAAGTCTATAAAGATATAGACTATGTTATCCCATGATTCCCAGTGAACTGTTTTTTTTTTCTAGTGTAGAAAGAGTTTCTTCTTACTTGTTAATGGCATTCTTTAGATACTGCTGAAGCCATTTGGTCTTGGGGTTGATGCAGACCTCTCTGTTGTTCTTCAGCTTGGCACTGGTAATGAGAGAGAGAAAAGAAGGGATTTGTTTCGGACGAGAGCAAAAGAGAGACTGTACCTTTCTCCCTCAGCGGTTCTACAGTGTGTTTCATCAGATGGTATCAGCTGTCCGTCATGGACTGCATTTCAGCTCCCCTATTCTCCTGTACTGGCAGGAGTCACTGCACTCCATCAGATAACGGGATTGAATTAGAGGCGGTTCGGTCCGTGAGGATAATGTTGTGATGTCTGGACTTTCCAGATTTTTGATGATTTTGAGGACTTTGACTGAGATTCCCAGAACTGTGCATATAGTTTGTCTAAAGTAACATAAATGAATTGATTTCCACTGAAATTGTCAATGCACTGATACATATCTTAATAATTATCATTCTTGAAGCGAACAGACTGTGATGATGTGTTTCCAGTTATTAACATCGTAAATCTAGCAACGTTTTTTACATTTTCATTTTGAATAGAATTAAACTGCATTTATAACACTGTAAATTCTGTTTTATCTATCTATCTATCTATCTATCTATCTATCTATCTATCTATCTATCTATCTATCTATCTATCTATCTATCTATCTATCTATCTATCTATCTATCTATCTATCTATCTATCTACTGTATGCATCTATATTACATCCATATCTATCTATCTATCTATCTATCTATCTATCTATCTATCTATCTATCTATCTATCTATCTATCTATCTATCTATCTATCTATCTATCTATCTATCTATCTATCTATCTATCCATATTACATCTATCTATCCATCCATCCATCCATCCATCCATATTACATCTATCTATCTATCTATCTATCTATCTATCTATCTATCTATCTATCTATCTATCTATCTACTGTATGCATCTATATTACATCCATATCTATCTATCTATCTATCTATCTATCTATCTATCTATCTATCTATCTATCTATCTATCTATCTATCTATCTATCTATCTATCTATCTATCTATCTATCTATCTATCTATCTATCTATCTATCTATCCATATTACATCTATCTATCCATCCATCCATCCATCCATCCATATTACATCTATCTATCTATCTATCTATCTATCTATCTATCTATCTATCTATCTATCTATCTATCTATCTATCTATCTATCTATCTATCTATCTATCTATCTATCTATCTATCTATCTATCTATCTATCTATCTATCTATCTATCCATCCATCCATCCTACATCCATCCATCCATCCATCTATATTCTATCTATCTATCTATCTATCTATCTATCTATCTATCTATCTATCTATCTATCTATCTATCTATCTATCTATCTATCTATCTATCTATCTATCTATCTATCTATCTATCTATCTATCTATCTATCTATCCATCCATCCATCCTACATCCATCCATCCATCCATCTATATTCTATCTATCTATCTATCTATCTATCTATCTATCTATCTATCTATCTATCTATCTATCTATCTATCTATCTATCTATCTATCTATCTATCTATCTATCTATCTATCTATCTATCTATCTATCTATCTATCCATCCATCCTACATCCATCCATCCATCCATCTATATTCTATCTATCTATCTATCTATCTATCTATCTATCTATCTATCTATCTATCTATCTATCTATCTATCTATCTATCTATCTATCTATCTATCTATCTATCTATCTATCTATCTATCTATCTATCTATCTATCTATCATCCTTGCAATAACTAGGCCTACAGCAATATTTTCCTTGATATTTGCAAAAAAAAAAAAAAAAACTTTTTAACTTGAGCAGAATTCTTTTTCTATTGATATCTGACCTCCAAATTTGCTCCGGCCCAGCCAGGAATATCCCCTCAAACGCTTCGTTCACCCACACATGGAGAAGACAACACAAATGACACCCAGACTTCGCACCTCCGTGGCAAAAGGTTGTGTTTGAGAGTTAGCGGCTCACGTTGCCATTCAAATGGCTCCTATTCGTATTGCTTACACCTCACACACACACACACACACACGGATCCCTCAATCTGTCTAGACAAATGGAGCCTGTCGGCCCATGCAGATAAAAAGTCCACTTAACCCACACGAATCCTCCCAACCAACCTCCCGATCAGTAAGCTAACTAAAAGTGTAATGTTACCCCTTGTTTGTTTTCCGGCGGGATGTCTTCCATTGAGTTTATCTTGAGAGAGTTTGTTTTATTTGTTTGTTTGTTTGTGATTTGGGTCTCTGAGTTAATCTAGCTAGTCTAAACGATCTTTTGCGCGAGCTTGTCGGTGGTCTGGGGCCGAGCCAGCAGGTAGTAATTACCTCACAGCTAGCTAATGCTAACAACAAAATGAGTGATGTGCGTGTCTAGGGGGGAAAGAGTAGGTGGCTGTCTTTCATCTAGGCCAATGAATCCGAAAGGATTTCTAAACAAGATGTGTGGAAAGTGGCAGATTAAAGGTGATTTCCTCCGGCCAAAGTTTGTTCCCCAAATGACCCTAAGCTACATGCTAACCTCTGTAACCCCTGTAACCTTGATCCCCTGTAGCGCTTTGGCTTTTCGGCTGCTGACGGGGTACAAATGGTTCGGTTTAATACATTCCAGACCACTGAAGTAATACCAAATGCTGGTAAAATGAAAAGGACAAGGTCAGCCGTAACACAAAGCTAATCATTTTGACCCTTAACAATTATTGTGTCATGAAAACCTGAACGCTCATAATGGACAAAATCACTCTCTCAAATGTTCTCTTTTGGTCCTTTTTTTGTTACTCATTGACACATTGCTTCTTTCCCACATGGATTGACTCCTAAAACTGTGGAAATGTGCAACTTTGAGAGCTATTTCTGGAGGACTATTGTTGGTGTGCTTTAATTTAGTTGTGTGGTAGAGTTTTGCTGTAGGATGTTGACTCACATGACTTGGAACGGGCAGCTGGGTGTGTGGAGGAACTTAATCTCACGGATGCTCCTCTGCGGGACGGTGTTGAGAGTGGACCGACACCAACATCTCTCCACCAGACTAATGGGTTTAGCTGTGACCGGATAAGAACAGAAAGTATGGAGTCAGTGCATGAGAAATATGAAAAATGCCTCTTATATCAGAGATTTGAAGTTACAGTTTGTATTGAAGTGATAAATTAATACACTTTAATTAATTGATTCAAAAGTTTGGGGTCGGTGTTGTTTTTGAAAGAAATGAATACTTTTATTCAGCAAGGATACATTAAATTGATCAAAAGTAACATTCAAAATGTTACATAATATTTTTATTTTAAATGAATGCTGTTCTTTTAAATTTTCTATTCATTTAGGAAACTTGAGACAACATGTTTCACCGTGTCCTCAAAAATATTAAGCAACACAACTGTTTTCAACATTGATAATAATCATAAATGTTTCATTAGATATTACTGTAGAAGGATGGTGTGACACTGAAGAGTAATGATGCTGAAAATTCAGCTTTGCATCCCAGAAATAAATTGCATTTTGAAATATATTCAAATAGAAAAGCAATATTTTAAATGATAATAATATTTCTGTTTTTGCTGCATTTCTTGATCATCAAATGCAGCAGAATAAGATCTTCAAAATACACATATTATATTATGAACACCTTTTAAAATATTTAAAATTCTCAAGATAATTCCTTGCTTCTCTTCTTATTATTTTCATGAATTCATGGAAATAAAACGTAAAACAACTTTTTTTCAGTTTAAACAGCTGTTTCTAGCTGATCTGAACCTTTAAAATGATTTGATTTGACAAAAACTTTGATTTGACAAAAACACAAAGAAATCACATATTAGAAACTTAATTTCCAACTTGCAATACCATCCTAGGTGAAAGTGTCTGATCACCTGCATCCATTAACAAACCCTGATCATTAAAAAGAGATTAGTCTGCATTCTAGTGGCCCTCGTCCATTCACACAGGGGCCGGCCTGGCTTTTCACTCGCCACATTTTTCATCAGGAGCCTTTTTGAGGGTCCTCAACATTAAATACGGCCCAATCCCATAATCACACCATGCCACTCCAGGTTTAGTCCTGAATTTGTGTATTAAATGAATCTGCTGAAGAACATTCCCTGAATGGTTTCACATCTCCCTGGATTCCCTTTGCACTTGGCCGAAACGGACCCGGTTCTGAGGCGAGTCAAACTCTGAATTCCCACAGATATTCCCGACACTCTCTGTTCCCTTTATCATGTTAAACACCGGCCCATTAAGCCTTGACTAAACAAGGCGCCAAGTGAACAGCGCAGGAACTTTTTGCTTACTATTCCCTAATTAGGCAGTAATTAATAGAGCTTGCGGATAAGTAAACAGTGCTAGATTTTTTTGCAGAGAAACAACAAAGCCAGACCCGCCGAGTTCAGCTGGTTAAACATCTCGCCGAAACCTTCTGTCCTTTTAGATCAGGCCCGCTAACATGTAAAGACGCGTACAGCTGAGGGAAGATGTGTATGCTAATTTATGCAGGGCATTTTCCAGCTGCGAGGTGATATTAATGGGACCTCTTAATGAGCGTTAACTCCTTAATGATCATTAACTGAAAGCATTATTCTGGAAACTTGATACAGCAGTTCTGTAATTTATGACTCAAGTAATACATTTACACTGTAAAAACATTTATAAAGCTGTAAATAAAACAAAGATCATTGGAGTATGTTTTAGTATTTTTATAAGATATAAGATATAATTTCCTGTTTTATTAAATGTTACTTGCTGTTTCTTTGTAATTATTGTGAATTTTACAAGCAATTGCTCAAACAATTGAAAATTGTTTAAACATAAATCCTACACCATTTTCTTCAGTGTTCAATAGGAAAGCTATGAGTTTTTGTTTAGCTTTGTTTTTGTTTACTTTTTAGTTTGTTTTTGTTCAGTTTTCAGTTGTTTTGCTTCGTTTTTGTTTACTTTTAGTTTATTTTATCCTTGATTTGTTTTTTAGTATATATTTTATGTTGAGCGATGAATTTAAAATAAATTAATATTACATATTTTAAATGTATTTCCAAAATAAAAAAGTAATTTTTTTCATCATTTTGAACATATTTATTTGCATTCCAACATTGCATTGCTTGTTACAATATATTATTGTATCACAATTATAATGAGTACACTAATTTAATTTATTATATGCGTTATACAAAATAAAATAAGTTTTTTCTTTATTTTAGCGCAAGATGCCCAGGATGATACATCAGTATCCATCTCGCAACACTTAAAAAAAATATCAATATGTTACGACAACATGTTTTTATATTGCTTTAACTCAAAATAATTTTTTTTCAACTTTTTTATGTTAAACAAGATTATTTTTTTTAAAGTCAGTAAAATATAAATTAAGCTGAAATTAATTAAACCTCCGAGTTGATTGTACTTAAAAATGTGAGACAGCAACTTGATTTTACAGTGTATTGTTATTTATAGTTAACTGAATTGCAACACAACACATCAAAGCATCATCTGAGAACCGAAATGTCGTAAATCTGTAAATGTTAGTCGTAACCCACACTGTAAAAAAATATTTTCAAGATTTGTTATCACAACATTTTTTCTTTTGTCAAATCAACTTAAATAATTTATTTAGTTGAGATAACTTATGATTTTGAGTTTCTGATGATTAAATTAATCTACTTCATTGTATTAATTCACTTTTTTACAGTTAAATCAACTTAAAAATTTAAGGCAACCAGGTTACTTACTTTAAGTTAAACCAACAATATTTTTTTAAAGTGCACTTACCGTCAGTCTCTGGGCTCCGTATGGCGAGCGTCAGCAGGGCCACCAGCGCTAGAACTTTGCTATCCATGCCAAGTGTGTGTGTGTGAGTGTGTGTGTGTGTGGCTTTTGTCCGTCACAGTTAGCTTCCAGAGCTCAGTGTGGCGTCTCAGAGCTTTGCGAAGTGTTAAGACTGAGGACCAGAGGGAAACACTCCCCCCTTCCTCAGGAGGAGGGGATGAAGGAGGAGGAGGGGGCTGGACCCTCTCCTCCGACGGTCACCTTCTCCAGCGAACGGCCGAAAATATTCTGGCAAAGATTCAGCAGTGACAGTCTGACTCAGACTCTCTCTCTCTCTCTCTCTCTCTTGTTTCTATCTTCCTCTGCATCTTTTTATTCTTCTCAGTGCAGCGGAGAAAGCAGAGTCCCTGCTGTTATCTCAGTATTGTTGTTTCTCAATGCCTCCATTTGTTATTGTTTATTTCATGTCATGTTTTTCTGGCAGTCGACTTTCACTAAACTGGCGCTGCTGCGTTTCCTGGCTCTCAGTTTACCAGCCGCATTTCAGATCCCATTCATTTTAAGATATGATTTGGGTGTATCTGAATTATACAGGCAAAAGTTTGAAGTCACACTTAAAAGCTTATGCTTACATTACATGATGGAAATGAGTTTTGTAGACAACGATAATTAAAGAAATGTGACGGAAAAGTGTTTTATTTTTTTGGTCACAAGATAAAAGCTATGGGAAATTGGATTGACTTTACCATTTTTTTGTTCTCTTAAACTATCAAGGAAACGTATTTATTATGTTGGGAAAGAATTTTCTGCATTTTGTAATTGTATTTGCTCTAGAAATAATATTTGTAATAGTGAGCTTTGCCTCCAAATGCTGTAAATACCATCACTGTTAGTTGATGCCACTGGCACAACTTACCCCAAAGCAGCTGGCACAACTTACCCCAAAGCAGCCATTTTATTAAAAAAAAATAATAATAATTTGAGACTAATCTGCCAAATATTTATCGGCATGTAAAAATATTTTTTAAATTATTACATAATATAAAAATTATAACTTTTTTATTTAACATTTTAAAAAATTTAGGACTGTGCAAACATTAATTGCGATTAATCGCATTCCAAAAATAAAAGTTTGTGTCTACATAATATATGTGTGTTAGCTGTGTATAATTATTTTGTATATATAAATACACACACATGCATGTGCACATGCAAGAAAATGTGTTATTCATATATAAAAGATTTAAATATAATAAAGATTATGTAAGATTATGTTAATCTTTGCACAGCCCTATTAAAATTATATGTATTACTTTTTAAACTTCTCTCAAGCCATAAGATACCTTTGTGTAATTAACAGACCAAAACTGTTATGCTCTGCCAAAGCTCTTAATTTGCATTTGTTTTCATTCAAATATGGCGCGTTAAGACGTGTCATGACATTTTTCACCATCACTATCACTAGCGTGACACGTCTTGACGCAGCATATTTGACGTGCATTGATTGATTGAACGACAAAGTTCTTGTCCAGTTGAACAAGCCTTTGCAACAATGCAGAAAAAAGAGAAACGAGCACAGACCAAAGCAAGGGCATGTGAGTGTCCGTCTCCATAAAACAGTGAAGTACCTTTCAAACAGAGTCAGTGGAGACACTGTGTTACACTTTTAATAGGCTACATCCAGACCCTCACGCTGAGAGACCCTGCAGCACCAAACCCCCTTAACAGCCCGTAAACTTTAGAGGGTGTTGATGGTTATCAAGCGGTCAGCCGAGGTGCAAACAAAAGGACTGGTATACAAACTTAACATTAATAATATGTTTTGAGGTCATCGAGAGTCTGTTGTGTTTCAGTGGCACTTCAAACGTCTTGCAGTTCGTAATATTTAGTCACAGGAGTGATGCTTGGCACGTATAACAAACAACATCGCAGGTGGAAAAACAATCATCCCTGTTAAACAACAGAAGTATTTTCTTTGTTGTTTAAATGTATACTTGGAGTATTTTAGTGATCGCTTTTGATCTCAGATCAAACGCTCGGATTTCTTCCAGCGATATTTGTAAATCCTGCGTTAATGTTCACATTGTTGATCTCAACCCTTGGCCTTTTTTTAACGTGCAAGTGAGCGGGAGGATGTTGAAAAGATTACTAAACATCACTACTGACCTAAGTGACAACCCTGCAACTTGTATCACTTTAGAGGGCAGAGGGCACGTTTCACATCCTCAGGTTTCATGTTTCAGAGAAACGTTTTCCTTCACTTTGTTCTCACAAAGAGCTGACGGACAACCGAAGACGAATGCGTGACGCAGGACAGTGAATAAATCACTTTATATTTGAGTTTATTTACATTTCACTGGAGCAGAAAATTACACTAGATGAGAGTGGGGGTAAGTTGGGCCACTTTTTACCTATTTACTCTAGGCCAAGGGGATGAATAATTTGCATGAATAATTTTTAATATTCAGTAGACATTTTTTTTTCACTTTGAATTTTGTTACTGAAATATTATTTGTAATAGTGAGATTCACCTCTAAATGCACTGTTAGTTGATGGCACTGGCACAACTTACCCCTATGCATCTGGCACAACTTACCGCAAAGGTACCATTTTAGTAAAAAACGTTGTATTATTAATTCATGACTAATAATTTAGCAACTGAGGGGCCACAACGCCATTTTTAACTAAAAACAGAAAACTTTTTATGCTTTTTAGCATTTAATTTACATGACGACAACGCTTTGGGGGCCTGAAAATGGGTTTCAGTGCAAGTTTTTGAAACCGATACCATTTTCATATCAGTGTAAACTACAAAAACGCATTTTTTTCACTGATCCGCAACGGTTTGTCAATGTTGTCATCTGTATTGGAAAAACGCAAAGTAAAAACTTTTCAGTTTTTAATACATCGTTGTTGTACCCTAATTTATATGGGTTTATTTATTAGCAGTTAACCAAAATGTAAGACATATTTTTATGAAATGATATGAGATGACAATTATAAAATTTATAAAAATGTAATATAAAGTCACTCCTGACATTTTTAACTGTTTAGTCTTTTTGCTTGGAACTGGAAACTAATGGCTTCTACAACAGTGAAAAATCTGTAATTATATAAACTAATATATTGTTGTAAATATATTTGTTTGTTTTTATGTTGTACATTTACATTTTTTTAAATCATTAGCAATATTAATTCAATATATTAAATAATGTCTATCTATATACTTGGATACATTTACCCAGATCTTTACCAAATTAAACCTAAACTTGGCCCTTTATGGTTACATGATAACAATGACTGTGTTTTAAACGTTTCTGGTGGTAGGCTAGTAGGTTTCCATCTCTTTTCTGTTCAAGTGGTTTCTTTTGATGTCACTGAATTGATTTCCATATACACACTTTAATGAATGTGATGATAGACTTTTGTTGGTCCAAGATTCCATAAGGAGATTATTTACATCCATTCGTGATTACAGTTAATACAAACATACTATACATACAAACCTTACAAAAAAGGGAACAAGTCAAAGAAACACAAGCCCATTAAACAATATACACATACTGGAAGTTCAGTCACCAGTATGCACTGGTGGATCGGCTTCTAGAGACAGCAGGTGAGTCGTAGCACTCAAAGCCTGTGGTCTGATCCATGCTAGCGCTCTCGCCCGTCCTGTCCCGAGAGACTCGCTCCTCACGCATGCGGGGTTTATTATGTTCCAAACTGAGAGGCTGAGATGTTTGTTAGGAATCAGAGGACAACTTTTGTCATCTTTGAAAAGAGGGAACACATTAAAGGGATAAAAGGCTTCCCTCTGCTGGTCTCTGCGGCCGCACAGCAAATAAAAAACAATCACTCACTCGGCTCAACCGTTCAGTCTATTTGATGGCAGCGCAGTCACCGGAAACAAATGCTACTTCAAGAGTGTTTCATTTCAAAAATTATATATATATATATATATATATATATATAATTGTGTATACAGATTTTTTGGTATTTGTTAATACGCATGTTGTATATTATATTGATAATAAATAAATAAATATATATATTATATACATATTACATGTATATTAAAATATGTAATTATTTATGCTAATGCAATAGTGATAATAATAGGCTATATGCATGCATAAGTTCCGCATTTAATGCAAGGATGCTCTTCAGTTTCCGGTTGAGGAGATTAAAGCGAAGGAAAACCGAGAAAAACAGGATTATGGCAGAGTCTTCAAAATTGACCATCCTCCCGTCTTTGAAACGAAACTTTAATATGTTTATATGTATTTTTATATATAGTTATGTTTATTTAATATAATAAACAAAGAAGTATTAACACAACGAGGGGTGTCTGTTTTGTCTGTTTTTGTGACTAACGTTTCTTTAGTATAGCCATAGAGTATAAAACCCAATATAAATTCTCGGTAGCATTGGACTCTACAATCGGCGGAAGTAACCCAGATAGCAAACTGACATTGAATCAACGTGGAAACATGCAACGCATTCTCACCCCAAGGCGTCACCTTTGACCATGCTTCAATATTTGACGTTTTAGGCGCCCTTTAGCGTCACTTACATGACGCGATCCTACGGCGTCATCTAACTGACGCTAAAAGAAAGCGTCAGTTAGAGGACGCGGTTAGGTTTAGGTGTGGTGTGGGGTAGGGGTAGGGTACACGCGATCCTAGGGCGTTATCTAACTGACGCTAAAGGGCGCCTAAAGCGTCAGATATTGAAGCATGGTCAAATGCTTCCCAAGGCGTCAGTTAAGTGACGCCTTGGGGGTGAGAATGGGCTGAAACATGACATCGAAACAACGTTGATCTGACATTGTTTTGCTCATCGAATTAATGTTGAACCAACGTCAGACGCGTCATTCTTTCAAAACTAACGGAAAATCAATTGAAATTAACGTTGTTTCAACGTTATGAAAGCAAACCAATTTTCGATTTTCATTTAGCTTTGAAGAATGCCGCGTCTGACGTTGGTTCAACGTTAATTCGATGAGCAAAATCAACGTTGTTTCAATGTCATGAGAGACGTCGTTTCCACGTTGATTCAATGTCAGTTTGCTGTCTGGGAATGGACTCCACGATTGGCGGAAGTAATCGAGCATCCTTACACCTTCACCGGAAATACCGCTGTGCATAGAGCCCATTGATTTACATTACAAAATTTTATAAAATTATAACATTATTTATTGTTGTGCATGTATGTATATATACTGTATATA